TCCTCTGAAATCACTTTATGTGAGAGAACTCTCGTAGTTGTTATCTAGATCTTGGCCCCTGCACACCCCTGGCAATCTAACAGGTCTTCTAGGGCTTCCAAGGAGTAACAGATGGGACACAATCTGTACTTTCCTACTGGACTCCCACACAGTCTCTACTTTGCTCCTCTGTGCATCCACACTGGAAGTAGAATATTCAACCCAGGTAGTCTGGTTCCAGAGCCCATGCTTTCATCATTACAATAGAAAGTTAAATATATTTAGCAATCTAATCCTCAGAAACCCTGTACAGGACCATTATGAGTCAGAACCAACTCAACAGCACTTAAAAACAACAAATATATCATAGGAATCCTGGTATGTCACTGTAGGAGAAGCACTGGACTGCTCATTGCAAGGTCAAGGGTTCAAACCCACTACCCACTCCTCAGAAACCCTCTATAAGGTCACTATGAGTCAGAACCGATTCAAGGGCACTTAATAACAACAACAACAATATATAGTAAAAATAACATGGTGGTTGTGATCCATGGAGTGGGTTCCAACTCACAGTGACCCGGGACGGACTGCAAATCTTTATGGGAGCAAAAAGACTCACCTTTTGCCAATGGAGTAGTTTCAAACTGCTGACCTCGTAACCCACTATGCTACTTTTTGTTGTTGTTAAGTGCCATCAAGTCGATTCCAACCCACAATGACCTTGTATAGGGTTTTCAAGGAGCAGCTGGTGAGCTTGAACCACTGACCTTACAGTTCAAATGACTTTGCAGTCTGACACATTAGCCCACAGCGCCACACTAGGACTCCTAGAGCTTCTTAAGAACAGCATGGTAGTGGTTATGTGCCATGGAGTCGATTCCAACTCATAGTGACCCTGTATAGGGTTTCTGAGGCTGTAAATCTTTGCAGAAGCAGACAGCCTCATCTTTCTCCTATGGAACAGCTGCTAGTTTCAAACTGCTGACCTTGAGGTCAGCAGCCCAACTTGTAACCACTACACTACCAGACCTCCTTAGAAAACAGTATATTTTACTAATATTAGTAATAACTGAGATTTATTGATAATTTATTCTGAACATTTTACTAAGCATATACAGTTTCTATTTCAATCTCACAACTACATGAAATAATCTGTAGATATTATCTCCCTTTTACACATGAGGAAACCAAAACATAAATGGGGTAAGTAACTTACCCAAAGTCATGCCTATCTTATCTGTCAGTTTGGTATACTATGGTGGCTTGGATCTTGCTGTGATGCTGGAACCAGGGATGGGGAATGTCCAGACCATGGGTTGTATGTTGTTGTTGGGTACGATCAAATCCAGTACTGACTCATAGCAACACAATGCATAACAGAACTAAAGACTGTCCAGTCCTGCCATCCTCACAATCATTGGTACACCTGAGCCCATTACTGCTGTCACTTGTGCCAACTCATCTCATTGGGGGGGTCTTACTCTTTTTCACAGACTATCCAGTATACCAAGCATAATGTCCCTCTTCAGGGCCTGCTCTCTCCTGATAATATGTCCAAAGTCTGAGAGACTTAAACAAATATGTGTCTAACAACATACTCCATGTTCTAAACTGTACTCTCTTCTCTTATGTGGGAGAAATGTAGAGGCCTTGGTCCTGAAAATGATTTGTGATGGGCTACTAACTTAAAGGTTGGTAAAAAGTCACCCAGTAGTGTCATGGAAAAGAGGCTGGCAATCTGCTTTTGTAGTAATTATTGCAAAGAAAACTCTATGGAATTCAGTTCTACTCTGTAACATGTGGGGATACTACAAGTCAAAATTGACTCAATAGCAACAGGTTTGGTTTAGTTTCTGTTTTTCTTTGTCTGTGTTATAGTTGTAAAAAGATGGACTATTCAAGAAATGGTACTAAGACAACCAGCTAGCTATCTTAAAAAATAATAAAATTTAATCCCTACCTCATTCCTTACAACATCATAAATTTCACATTTAACAAGTTGAAACTATAGAAAATCCAGGGGGAAAAAACATAGTAAAAATGGAAAAATTATAACCCCAAAACCAAATCCCCTGCCATTGTTGATTCCAACTAATAATAACCATATTGTGGCATCTTAAATTTACTTGATAAGGCTTTTCTATCCAAAGTCTAAATTCCCACCAAGTGATTGGGTGGGGCCATGCAAATAAGGTATACAGAACCCTAAGACTGGGATTGGTTAGTTTTGTGTTTTGTTTTTTAAGTTTTTATTGTGAATTGAGTGATAGTTTACATGGAAGAATATCAGCTTTACAGTCATCCAATTGTAGTTCGTTTCATCATAATGACTACAATCCCCTCCATGCATCATCATTCAACAGCATTTGCTTCCATTCCCTCTGGTTTTTTGTTTTGTTTTGTGTTTTGTTTTTGCATGTACATCTAACCACTCAGGAATATATAATCATTCAAACACCCAAAGGGCATACCCTGCAAGCCTGCCTCCTGGCCACCAGCACACAGCCCTCTCCCTCCTTGAATCTAGACTCTCCAGCTGCTCCATCTCTCCACGTCATTGTCTCTGTCTCCATCTCTGGCATCACTGTTTCTCTGGGTAGGGTCTGGTGCTCTGCTCTTCCCCCTTGATGGTCCCAGGGCACTCTGCTCCTGGACTGAAAAGTCAATCACTCCCCTCCTTTTGCTGCAAACCTACAAGCCATCTACCTCTACATTTGTAATTACAATTACAATCACAATCAGTCCTAAAAACAATTATTCTCTATTGAACCACACGAGTCTTATCCCGATCTCCTTTCACCAGCCCTGTCTAGACAGATTGAAAACCACTCAGTGGCAATTCCACCTACCTCTGCACCCTCTGAAACTAAGCTCCCTCTTGAAAACTTGTAGGCCAGTAATTTGTGCCTTTATAAGCCTTCCCCCACCCCCATTTTAGGTAGCCAATGTTTAAGTTGCCCATCCCTGTCAAACCTGTGTACCGAAGGGGTATGAATGATCCTTGCTGTGAAGATTTGTTCCCTCTTTTAAGCTACTACACCCATAAGTATAGGTCAAGTTCATCAAATTGTAGCAGATTACACTTTTTTTTCTCTTCTTTCTTCCTCTAGTCAAGTTCTGAGCATCCAGCCACTGAAGCTAAGTCAAATGGGTACTATCTGCAAGTATGGGCATTCTTGTGCATCTCCCCTCACTCCATATCAGCTGGACACTTCACTCTCTACTCTAGTCCTCTGTGGCTATGTCCCTGTCCATGGGCACAGGAGTCCCCAGATCTTGCCATACTGCTGGCCAAGCAGGTCTCACTCCAGGATGACGGGAGTCTATTGAACATGGACGGACTCAGCCCACAGCATCTTTGCTGTTTTCCCCCCCACTTCCTCTTATTAGTAGACCAACATGATCACCAGCAAGATTACATGTTTGCTCATGTATTCCCTTTGAGTTTCAGGGGGTTTTCCCTGAAGGGACTTGATTGCCTTGATGGCTCCCGGGGAACAACTTGCTTACTTATAGTAGTCAATCAGACTGCCATTATTGTTTTTTATTTTTCCTGCTGGACTTTCTTTCAAGAAGTATCTTCTGTTCTTCTAGCTGCTCCAGGCTAGTCTGCTTGTCTTTTCAAGTGGAAATTCCCCACCTCAGAAGATTCTGGATGGGGATCAGGATTCCACCTAATGTCTTATACACTGCAAAGTCTCCACAGGAAGCCTCTTTCACTGGGGAAGTTCTAGTCCCCATTTTAGGTACTCCAATCAGTTATAGGCTGAAGATGGACTTACAAGCTTTCTATAGTGATGTTCCTGGCTATTCCTTTCTCTCCTCCTCAAGTGTCTATTTTACAGTAGTAGGCAAAGGAAACCAATATTCCTAAGACAGTCAAGCATCTTACCATTGTTTCTCCTCTTTTACCTATTCAGACTATGCCTTGTGGGATTGGTTAGTTTTGCCCTCCAGCTAGGTTTAAAAGGAGCTATCTCAGAAGCAGAGATGGAAGATCCTAGAACCATTAAGAAGGAAGGGCATCAGTGAAGCATAAGATCCCTACCTTGAGAATTAGTGACAGCAGAGGGAATGGCATGGAAAGACAGAACAGCTCCCGGGTCTAGACCCATGCACTAAGTAAAGCTAAGTGTCTACAGGCAGGAGACTGGCTTGCAGAATGTGCCCTTTGGGCATTCACAGACTGGCTAAAAGAGCTTTGTAACACTTGCTAGAGCAGGGCAGAGGCCAAGGAACCACATGGCTGAGAGGTCAAAGACAAAAGTGAGGCATGCCTGCAGTGTGGCTGACAAGAGGTGTTCCTGACTGGATAACTGCTGCATCCTGAGCTTTTCTGATCTTGGATTGTACCCTGTTCACTTCCCTAATAAACCCCAGAGTTGTGAGCATTGTTAGGAGTTCTGTGTGGCCATTACAGTGAGTTATCTAACCCAGATGTGAAGCCAAGAGTTCTGTGGGAGGGATGGTTGGTGTCAGAATAGGGTAAAGGGTATGTGGGGTGGAAGCAGGTCTGACCTATGCTTCATAGGAATTGGATTTTGAGTTTGAGTCCCTTTCTCTCTTGTGAAGTCAGACATGGTCCCCACATGGTTATTGTACCAATAAATAATAAATTCACAAAAGAAGAAATATAAATAGTCAAAATATGTGAAGAAAAATTTGACTTAACCAATAAGGAAATAAATATATATGAAGTATAATTGTCTATCAGACTAGAAAAGTTTTAAAACACTGATAACTGAAAAAAAAAAAAAAAAGAAAAGAAACTGGTAACTATTAAATTGTTGAGGATATAAATAAATTGCCACATGAATATGACAAATATGGGAAACTTCAATACCCAAGGATAAGAAATAAAGTGTTGTTTATTATAATGTAACTTTGGAGATATTCCAAATGATCATCAGTGTAGGTGTGGTTAAGAATACGCATGCACATAGAGCAAGATGGCAAAGGAGCCTGAGTCAGTGCTATAACTCCCACCCTCGACTGCTGCTGGTCGTGAAAACTTATGGCGGTCATCCCAGAAACATCATGACCGAGTCTCCCTCTTCCTCTGCAATCTCCATGAGAACATAGAAACCTGCTGGAGACAACAAGAAAGAAAATTTACATCAACTAAATGATGTAGGAGTCACCCCTGTTATGAAAACAAGGAAGTGGGGTGTAGAATGAATTCAAAACATCCAAGGACTCGTTCATTTCATCAAGAAATTACTTAAATTTGTAGCAACAAAACCGTTGTGTATGTGTATCAGTCCTCTGCCTCTTTCCCCAGATTAGGAAGTTGGAAACTCTATGAGTATTTTGATAGTGATGGTAAATTGGTCCTACATTAGTGCAAATCCCAGGTTTCAGCATGAACCACAGAGAAAAGCAACTTGCACCTTAAATCAATATTCACAAAGGAAACATTCTGAAAAGTTTCAGTGCTTATGGCAAGAGATTTTATAGCATGATGAGCAGTTCAAATTCATGAGCCACTCTTCAAACCCTATAAAGGGTCACTGTGAGTCAGAATGGACTCCACGGCACTTAACAATAAATCTACTGTCCGCATGTATCTACTGTTACCAATGTTTATGTATAGATGTTATCATTCTAGACTGGACTTCCAAAAATGCAACTTGTATTAGTATGCACATCATTATGAAAGATTAGAGAATACCCAAAGCTACCACATTCAATCATTCTGATCTGCCACCAAGGTATTGAAAAGGAGATTAAATCTATATAAAGGCTCCAAAATTATTTACTTGTAGTATTAGTCCTCTTGGGTTTTTTAATTGTAGAAACTTATTTATAGAAGTGTTATTTTTTTAACCTATTCAGGGTAATTCAGTTAGTTTGGAGTACAGAATATGTCTTTTCTCATTTCTTTTATATCGTCCTGGTGTGGCGCTGCAGGTGAATGCACTGGACTGCAAAATTGGTTTTGCAGCTCAGCAACTGCTCCTTGGAATCTATACAGGGTCACTATGAGTTGGAACTGACAAAACAGCACTTAACAACAGCAATGTTATATTATTTTAAACCATTTTTAAAGCATTTACCTACTGGCTTTATACTTTACATAGTCAGAATAGGACAGCCCCCAGGAAGAAAAGTTTGGCAGCTTGGTTAAACTGCTTTGCCAGGAACAATAGGGGGGAAAGATATTGCTGTTAACTTCTATCAAACAATTAGCCAGGAGAGCAAGCGTTTCAACAAATTGGAAGAACACCTTTAATATTAAATGAAGTGTTTCATTAGCAAACCAAGAACTTTACAAAGTCTGGGCAAATGAATCTCATAACTGTTTTTAGCCCTCTCATGTAATGACTATTGGATCCTAATGATGCAATTGGCATTACTCTATAATTACTAAGGTAATGCTGGCAACATCTTGGAGTTTTTCATAATGTATTTTACAACTTGAAAATCCTCAAAGAATAATTTTTAAATGGCCCTAGGTTTTCTGTGAATAAAAGTTAAAGTGTCATTTTACTAACACTGTTAGGACTTGACAGCATACAACCACCACCACCATTAGGTAATTACTTAAAATGATAGTTGATGTATTCCTTTCATTCTTATTATGTTTGTAATATAGCTGTTAAAAAAAATTTGCATTTAGCAAAATAAGAGATTGGCTCATTTAAAAAATAATAATAATAATGTATCACTTAGCTATCATGGGAAGAGCTCCAAGGAACCCAGTAACACTGAGGCTATAGAAATTGAAAGAGACAAGGATCTTCCCCCAGAGCTGACAGAGAGAGACTTCTAGAGCCAGTCCCCTGAATTCAGACTTCTAATTGCTTGCACTCTGAGAAAACAAATTTCTCTTACTGAAAATTGCCCACTTGTATTTCTGTTACAGTAGCACTAGAAAACTAAGACATGCATCAAGAATCATATAAAAATGAATTCAAAGGTACTAAAGCATGAGGTCAAGCTGCCAGTAGGCAACCACTAAAATCACACCATGCCCTGCTACTCTCCACTGTTGTCATTGTTAGGTGTTGTCAAGTCCGTTTCAATTGATATCAACCCTGTGTGCTGTTTCTGAGGAGTGGCTGGTGGGTTTGAACTGCCAACCTTGTGGTTGGCAGTCAGTGTTTATCCTACAGCACCACACCAGGACTCCATAATTGCTTGCAAAAAACTGAAGCAACAAACATCTAATGATACTACAGGGACAGCAAATAATTAAAAAAAAAAAAAATTACTAGAATTGACTACTGCATGTTTAACAACCCGTTTTTTGGATGTAAGAAAACATTCAGTTCTTTCTAGTCCATCTTACATTTTGTTGTTGCTACTGAGCATGGGCATGATGGGCAGAGTTCGGTATTTCAAATTTGTAAAATCTGGAGTTTAGGATAAGAAAATAAAATCAGGATCAGAAAAGAATTAGATGATCTTTTCAACCTCACTTGGTATTTCAAATTTTAGCTGGGCAGTATGTGATTCTTAGTAACTCAAATATAAGTTTCTAGGTAAAGACTCCATTGTTGTTGTTGTTATGTGCTATGGAGTCAGTTCTGACTCATAGCGACCCTGTACAGAGTTTTCGAGGCTGTAAATCTTTACGGGAGCAGAAAGCCTCATCTTTCTCCCGCGGAACAGCTGATAGTTTCGAACTGCTGACCCTAAGGTTCGCAGCCTGATTCGTAACCACTATGCTACCAGAGCTCCTTACTTACTTCAAATCATTGATTATTTATTCACTTGAATAGTAGTTAATAAATCTTTATTGAGAACTGGGTTGGTGCTGTGGGATAGGCACTGGACTACTAGCCTCAGGGTTGGTGGTTCGAACCTACCAGCCACTCTTTGGAAACCATATATAGGATCACTATGAATCAAAACTGACTTGACAACATTTAACAACAATAGCTATGTGCCAAACATTATTGATGCTGTGGATACAAAGATACCCAGATCAAAATCCTATCTTCAGGAAGCTCAGAATCTATTCAAGGAGTAGATAAGTCAAGACATAATAGAAATCTCTGATGAATTCTAAGTCATTAGGAGGGAAACTCTAACTGCCTAGGTGAGTTGAGCTTCACCAAGATCAATCACAACCTCATTGATTAAACAGAGTAAGGTATAACGGCAAGAAAAAGTTAGTTGTTGCTAATCTTTGGTATTACCTCTTTTCAAGTATCACTGTGAGTATTGTGCACCTTTAAACCATCAACTGTGTGAGACCAAACAGTTAACAATTGTCTTAAAGCAATGATAATAGAAGGTAATTGGGGCGTAGGGGTGGGCCCAGGAAAGCTAAATTACTGGAAATGGAACAACCAAAACAGAAATAATGAGAATGCTGACATACTGTGAACAAAACTGTAACTACTGTCACAGACTCCTGGTGTGGCACTGTAGGATCAGCACTGGACTAGGAACCACAAGGTTCACAGTTAAAACCAACCAACTGCTCCTTGGAAATCCTATACAAGGTCGCTGTGAGTCAGAACTCAACAGCACTTAACAATGTCACAGAGGTGTGGCACTGTAGGATAAGCACAAGACTGCTAATCACACGGCTGGTGGTTCAGACCCACCAGCTACTGCAGTTATGAATCAGAACCTATTCAATGGCACTTAACAACAACATCATGGAATGATATGTGTGTTGTTGTTGTTAGGTGTGATCCAATTGGCACCAACTCATAGCGACCCTGTGAAACACTGCACAGTCCTTTACCAATCTCATAATCATTGCTACACCTGAGCCCATTGCTGCTGCCACTATGCCAATCCATCCCACTAGAGGTCTTCCTCTTTTTCTCCAACCCTCCACTTTACTAAATATGATATCCTTCTCCAGTGACTGGTCCCTCCTGATAATATGTACAAAGTATGAGAGACAAATTCTGGCCATCCTGGCTTCCAAGGAGCATTCTTGCTGCACTTCTTTCAATACAGATTGGTTTGTTCTTTTTACAATCCATGGTACTCTTAATATTCTCCTCCAACACCATAACTCAAATGCATAGATTCTTCTATGGTCTTTCTTATTCACTGTCCAACTTTCACATGCATATGAAGTCATTTCAAATACCATGGCTTGGGTCAGTCCTCAAACTGACATCTTTGCTCTTCGACACTTTAAAGAGGTCTTCTGCAACAGATTTGCCTAATGCAATATGTCATTTGATTTCTTGACTACTGCGTCCATGAGTGTTGATGGTTGATATGAGCAAAATGAAGTCTTTGACAACTTCAATCCTTTCTCCATTTATATGAATGTTGTTAATTTGTCTAGTGGTGAGGATTTTTGTTTTCTTTACCTTGAGTTGCAACCCATACCAAAGGCTGTGACCTTTGATCTTCATCAGTAAGTATTTTAAGTCCTCTTCGCATTCAGCAAGCAAGTTTGTATTATCTGCATGTTGTAGGTTGTTAATCAATCTTCCTCCAATCCTGATGCCACATTTTTCTTCATATAACCCAGCTTCTTGTATTATTTGCTCAGCATACAGATTGAATAAGTATGGTGAAAGAATACAACCCTGACACATACCTTTCCTGATTTTAAACCATTTGGTGTTTCCTTGTTCTGTTTGAACAACTGCTTCTTGGCCTATGTACGGTTCCCTCATGAGAACAATTAAGTGTTCTGAAATAATTCTCTGTTGTGCTGTCCACAGTTTGTCATGATCCACATAATCAAAATCCTTTGTATAGTTAATAAAGCACAGGTAAACATCTTTCTGGTATCCTCTGCTTTCAGCCAAGATCCATCTGACATCAATAATAATATCCCTCATTCCACTTCCTCTTCTGAATCTGGCTTGGACCTCTGGAAGTTCTTTGTCAATGTGTGACTGCAGCCATTTTTGTATTATCTTTAGCAAAAATTTACTTGCATGCAATATTATTGATATGGTCTGATGATATCCACATTCCATTGGATCACCTCTCTTTGGACTGGGCACAAATATAGATTTTTTTC